GCCGCCGCCCGCCCTCCTCCGACGACTCCTACAGCACCTCGAGGTAAAGTTACTTTAAACATTATTTACAATTGAATCCTATAGTAAACTAAATGACTGCAACATTCCTTTGCTAGTTTGAAATCATTATAATGCTTCATGAATGCAATATAGATATTTCATGAGAGTATCCTATGCCTATCATTGCTCTTAAATTTATAGCTGTATTTTTTAGATTGTCTCGTTCCTACAGGTACTTTTGACACTCTTGTATTTGCTCAAATAAATCACGCCATTGTGTCAAATTGATTTTACACATTTTCAGTTATGATTTTTTTTTCATTATTTAATGTTCTTTTGAAATGCCTATGCAATGTGAATTTTGTGTTACTGATTGAATTAATTAATGAAATTGATTAAGACTACTTGAGCCTTCCAAGTAGACTTTGAAACTGAAAGATACATACATACATGCATAGGCAATATTATGAAATTTACATTAAGAAAATGTACTTATAAATTTCAAATAATTCTCAGGGTACTTAATACTAAGATTAAGTATTTTTTTATGTCATGTTTTAATAATTTTTTTAATGTACGTAAAAGACGTTATTTTTAAGTTAATTTATTTTTTATATTCTGTTTAAAAATGTCTGTTGTTTAGAATGATACTAATTGGAGCATTTGCTCCGGTACGCTTCGTCCCCTTCCTCTGGCCGTTGGGTTCGCTTTCATATTGATGTTGTGTGTCGGTGTTCAATTCTCTACGGATATCATCGCTGCTCTTCATATCTATTGCATGTTATCTCACTTTCGTTTTAAATCATTGGGGTTCGCTAATGGCCGAGAGTGTGAGCGAGCATTTGCGTGCGTGTGCGTGCGTGCATGCGTGCGTGCAATCGTGCGTGCGTGAGTACGTGCGTGTGTGTGCGTGCGTTATGGTGGGTGTGACCTTCCCCCGGCGTCCCTCTGAGTCCTCAGCTCTTTAATTTCCAGCTCGCGTAGTTCGGGCTCGGCGGGCGCTCGCCGCAAGAGGAGGGCGTCGTCACCCTCTCGACAAAGGTAACTCGACAATTGGTATGATTGATATCAATTCTCTTACCAAGTTATCTATGACACTAACCAAGTACTAATAAAACATTTTGTACATATAACTCGATAAGTAGTTTGGAATAGTGAGAGGGCGGATATAGAATTATGTAAAAGCGTAAATGACGATGTATATATAGAGATAAGATTCGACACACATTTGAAAGATTTGGAAGTAATTTAAGTCTATACAAGTAATGGAAGTGTTACAAGATGATAAAAATATGAAAGAAGAAAACCTCATCGTGGATAAAGCAACCTTATGGATGAAGAGAAGACGAGGATTACAGCTTAAGATGTACAATTGAATATAAATCACTGTGATATATCAGTTTTTACATGTCCTATGTCTAAAGATTTAAATTTTGACATAACTGATTGTTTTGTTATTATAAGGGACTAATTGTAATTTAGTTTTAATGTCTTGTAACCTAGGCAAAATAGTTAGTTTTGTTTATAATGATTTTGGTGAAAAAAATATGGATTTTTTAACTAACTTTTGAACTATGGAGTTATGAATCAGATTGCAATATTGTAAAAAATTCTGACTAATGTTATTAACGAATACATGTAACAAGTACTAATACTGCTTTGTACCATAGCTGTATACGATAACCTACTAACACGTACTTAATTTAATATATATAATTTCATTTTATGTAAAAAATAACAAATGTATTAGAAATACGATCTGATTTGAACACTATCAATTCTTTAAATATAAAGAAGAAATGAGTGACTGAAGGTTTTTTTTGGTGAATATTCTGTTACTAAGATATTAACATAAACATACATATATAAGTAACCATGTGTCTGTGTTAAAAATTTTCAGTTTAAGGTAAGAGAGGCAATGTTTTAGTGATGTGTGTGTGCGCAGACTGTCGCCGTCGGTGATAGTGCGCGAGCGGCGGCTGGCCACGGCGCGCGCCACCGCCATGAACCCGCCCGCGCCGCGCCGCCGCGCGCCCTCGCCCGCCGCCGCGCGCCAGCTCGCCGCCAACCCGCCGCCGCCCGCCTCGCACCGCCATAAGGTACCGAACAACTACGATCGATTATTCTAATTCATCTACAACGCCTTATAAGCGACAGAGATTTACCCGAAGACATTTAAGAAATATGTAAATTGGGCATAATAAACAAATGTTTTTCTATAACTTGACAACATTAGTACGCCATTTTTACAAAAATTATAATAAACTCCATCTTTGGTTGTAAAATAAATGGTGTTTAAAAAAATAAACATTTAAATATGATTTAATGACAGCTTTTGGCAATGTTTTAAATACAATTAATTATATCAACTTGTGGTTTCGAGGATTTATTAATATATAGGGATAGTGAGATTATATGAAAAATGTTTCAAATAAAGTGTCAACTATGCCTACTCTATGTATTGAATCTAACCCAAGTTTAATATTGACAGGAGGAGATTGATCCGTATGGTCGAAGCAAAGCGTCGAGTCGCAGCAGGAACAGGAAGAAATATTCACGGTCATCATCGTCTGGATCTGGTAAACTCTACACAATGTTTAATTTAAGAAATTCATAAAAATAAACCTAATAGGTGTTATATATTTCAGAGTTTTTCATCTTTTATTATTGTATGTTATGTTGTGTGTTAGAATCGTCGTCGTCGTCGAGCGAGTCTGAGAGCGAGTCGCACTCGTCGTCGACGTCGGGCAGCTCTGGCGCGCGCCGCGCTCGCCACGCGCGCCTGCTCAACGCCGCCGCGCGCCCGCGGTACGCACATACACTGACTGACGCACGCCTCACTCGTAGAATTGTATCACATTATGATAATGTTTTTTACAGAATTAATGCAAAATCGAGTGCAGGTCTAGCTGCGGCAGTATCTACAGCTGTCAGTAAAAAAGAAGTACCGACTGAAAAAGGTATATTAAATAACTTTATTAATATTATTTGACTTTTTGGGCGAAATAGTAAATTTGTTAAAATGTCTCCAGGCTGAACAGATCTCGATGAAATTTGGTACAGATGTAGAATATAGAACACATAGGCAACAATGTAATACTGTACAATAGTAATTAGTTAAATATATATGTTTTCCAGATATGAGTAGGAAACGTTCGGCGGTGTCGCCCGCCAACGACGTTCCAGCAAAGAAGTCAGTGTCGCGGCGCGAGGAGCTGCTCAAGCAGCTGAAGGCTGTCGAGGACGCCATCGCAAGGAAGCGCTCCAAGATATAGGGACGTGTTATTTATATAAACAACGCATACAGGACTTGGCACAGGCGGCCGCACTGATACCTGATGAAGGCAAAGTAACATCACTTGTAAACAAGACCTAAATTTAATACAGTCACAAGCTTTAAAAATCACGTGGCTACATATTGGTCTTTTATTGCCAGTGATGTCGCTGTGGGTTTTCATTGTCAACAAATGTATTAAACACATCTTTTATTCTCTTTGAAAAAACTAAGACCAAATTTAATACAAATGTTACTGTTGTGGATTTGCGGCAAAAGAAAGATCAAGCTTGCTGTGTAGCTGTTTTATTGCGTAACTTATTTACGTATATCGCTGGTGTTGAATTAAGCTATTTTTCTATTTATAACTTGACTTGTAAATTCCTTGAGAGTATCTGAATGTTAGACAAAGTTTGTTCAATATATTTGAAAGGCAGGGAAATATTGGTAATCAATCATCAATATTAACGAATGAATTGTACTATAATCATCCTTCTTTATGTTTTTAAAAAAATATTTTCATTGCGACAGCAACGTTTAGAAATGTTTGTTAAAAGCAGTGTGTAGTAAATGTATAAAACACTAGCCAATAAGCGGCAATGAATTAAAAACATGTAACAGACTAATATATTTGTGTAATCCTTACAGAGTTTTTCTTTAAATTTCGATTTTGTTCATAATTGCTTACATACTGTTATATATTCTCTCTTGAATATAACTCATTTTTAATTAATTAGTATCTCGATGTTGAAATCTTATTAGTGTCTAATTTATAATAATCTGTACTTGTTATTAAGGCTAGATTGTGACAGTCAGCTTGTCACAAATTAAAAAATATGTAAAACCTAAATGTGTAAGTTTAGTAGAAGAGTTATTTAGAATGTTAAAAAATAAATGACTAAATAATTTTTCAAATATCTGTATTTTTATTTATGAACATTATGTACAAAATGATACTTTTTGACAACTGATTTTACAATGCACAATTTAGAACATTCATTCTGTTTTGATCACCATAATTTTTGCTAAACGATATTTACGTGAAGTAGAATTTCGAATAAGTACTTTATTTAGTCCAGACTTTATAAGTTCAATTAACGCAGGTAAAGCAATGTAACCCACACCAACACTTTTCGCTTCAGTGAAACTGAAATCACCTTTGCACACATAACCCATCAGTGGTCTTAGACAAGTGTTCCGAACCGTCGTTATATTCGATGGCAGCCAAAGTTCTCTCATACTTTTAACATATTCTGAAGGTTCACGATTGATTACTTTCTTAGCCCTTTTAACCTGAAATCAATTTAAGAGAACTAGAGAACCTTTCTAATTTCCAAACAGATTGAATTTGTTTTTAAGTTCGACAACAATATAAAGTATTAGAATATCTACAATCTTACCTGACAACCAGATTTCTTATTTTTTCGCCTCTTCCTTTTCATTTGCTTTAATAACTGTAAGTGCTCTTTTCTCTTTTGTTTCCTCAATTTTTCATTAAGATCTCTATGCAGTGGTTCATAAAGAGTTTTGATTGTTTGGATATCATTACTCTGTGGTAGACATATCAAAGCATGGTGTTTTAAATTACCCTTAACTTCCATATGCAGACACACCGGAACTAAACATCTATCAGCTTCATCAATATTAGGAACCATCTTTTTAATCAGACAATCCTAAAAAAATATGCAACAAATAAATTGGTAAGTAAGCAAAGTGTCCTTATAATAAATCGGTTCGGAATATTAGTGTTCTTACCTGTAACAATTCTAAAAGTTTCCGATTTCTCATTACATAGAAATCATTTGCATTGTTACCACTCCAATCACTCAGTAATATTTTCCATGGACAGATAAAAGGGCTATTTACACCCAACTTTTGATAGTTTACTCTCTTGCTTGGTGGTCGCCGAAAATATTTGTCTCGAAGATGTTGTTCTATTCTTTTCTCTTCTAAACTTCCTGCTTCAGAATCTGGCGGTAGGAAATTTTCTCCCATTTCAAAGGCCATGCTCTCTGTCTCACGGAGGCCACCCGCTCGACCTCCAAACATTACTAATGTTTGCCAGAATGGAATGCCATAGCCAGGAGGTACAATTATATCCCATCCACTTCCATAACCTGTAAACACAAATTTTCAAGTGTTTTATTATCCCTATGTAAAAAACAAATTAAGCATAAAGTTTTATTCTTACTGTACCAAGTTTTTTGGAGTTTGCATTTTGTGATCCTGGTCGTTGCATTAATACTATAGGAACATATTGTAATGCCGGGTCATCTTCATTGATTTCTCCAGGCACTAGTTGAGTTTTGGTTATGTGTTCTATAAACTGTGCATTGGTCATTTGTTTCTTCTTAGTATGTTCATGGAGTCTTGTATCCCAAATGGGTGAATGTGAGAGGTAAGGTGGGATCGTAATTAATGAAGCCACATTTACATCTTCAGGGCTATTGTTTTGCGCCTTAGTGCGGTATGAAGGTCTGCTTAAACGAGGATCTTTAATGATCAGACCTATCACCACATTTGGTGGTAACAATGCTGGTGAATTTGATAACTTTGCATTTTCCCAATAATCATTTTTTTCTTCTAAATGTAAACTTGATGTACTTATTTGTGTCAACCAGCTGTCTTTTACTTGATTTGGGGTTTTTATACATTTTATGGTAGAATTTAAAATGGCCTGACTTTTAGGACCAGTTAGGCGAAACATGTTAAAGGCTTTGTTCAATATATTAACTTTTACATCAGAATACTTGTTAGTTAATTTTCTCTTTTTTTCTAGGTGCTCGAAGGTTAAATTTTCTGGATTAGGATTTATTATGTTAGATAAAAGTAATTCTATTTGTTTGGTCTGAGATGGATGGACCAACAGCCATAATTCCTTCTTGCAATTTTCATTTGCTATCCACAGAAACTGAATTTTACCAATATAGCCAAAAGGATAAGCATTTGTATTGTATATGTCAATATATCCTCTTCTGTATGTTCCAGTGTACGCTTTGGCAGTCACACTCAGTCCACAAGATTTATTTGTAATGCAGTCAAATATCTCCCCTATGAGTTCAATAGGTCCAGTGATCTGGATCTGTGTATAGTAGGATATATCTTGTAACAAACAGTGTGCAGAACTTGCTCTGTAACAAGCACGAAATGCTTTATCGCAGGGTCGGTCTGCCAGACGGTAGCCCCAGCGTTCTATCATATGAAACCTTTTAGCATGCCAAATGTGTGTCTCTAACCAAATGTTTCTCTTTTGTCGTCTGTTATACTCGGTTAGTAAATTCGCGGGACGACGTCGATACTTTCTAGATGGCCTTTTTTGTTTAGGTGGTAGTCCACTCTTTTTCAACTGCTCTAAGTGACCTTCTCTCAACCTTCTAGGCAGTCGCTTACAATTGTGACTCATAACTCTACGCCTCATATGAACAGGAAGGGTTTGGAAAATTAATTTAGTTTTACTTGGGCGCAAAATACTTTCAGACATTGCTGCAATTTCAATGCTTCGTGAAGCGGTAAATTTAAAACTATTTACCGAATATGGTAGGTGTTCTTCACCACCTAAAGTGGCATCAAATTGCGGATTGTCCATTTTGTATCTTGGATTGTATTAATTTATATGATAAAAACGGTATCTTGTTTTATTTTTGAACACACCACATTGCAATGACAGTAATGACAAGTTTTAACACTGACATATGACATGACAGTCTCTGTCAAGTCAAAGAACAGTAGGGTTGTAGAGTAGACATTCATACAAATGCTCACAGGGTCCAAAATGATGAATTTTATACCAAACTAACTGTTGTCCGCGACTTCGTCCACGCATAAAAAAGTAGCCAATAATATGCTTGTCTATGTTTGACTACCCTTCAGAGAATGTTCGGAAAACGCGGCTTACGGAGAGACAGAAAATACTTTTTAAATGCGATTTTCGTTATCAGCAACGCAAATACATCATCTTCCCGAAATCTGATTTTTTTTCTTTTGATATTACAGACACTCCATTTTTATTTTATGTATATAGATAGATATGAAATTCATATTCGGTTGGTGACCGATCTGATAGCTTTTATATTAAACAAATCTCGTAGTGTTTATAATTATATAAAATATTAATGATGTGAAAAAAGTTTTTAATTTATTTTTGAATGATAGTAATTTAAGTCTTTATTGCTGCCATGTAAAATATTACTATTCTTATATAACTTTGTATCCATATATCTTTATTAAAATATTTATTGGAACATTTTGAAAATGAAAGTAGTATTTCAATGTATAGTTATAAATAAAAACTGAATATTACATTAAACTAATAACGATTAGAAACCCATAACAAAGTGAGTAGTTAATGGTAAACAAATCATTTAACGTAATGATGTGGCAATGATTATAAGAACAGGGATGGTGTTATGTTGTCATCATAAAGTCTCAAATTAAACGATTTATAATTGTTTTAAGTATTTTTATTTTAGTTATGATAAAATTGATCCTTTACTGAATAGTGGTAGCTGAAACAAAGAGACGAAGTAAATTATTTTTCCAAGTTGTAAAATCCCCTTTAATAATAATAAGTTTCTTACGCTGGTTGTAAACATTAAAAACAAAGATTTCCCTCTCAAATCACAATCCTTAGCCACTGATAATAGCCGTTACTGTAACTGACGAAAGGACTTTGCTAATAGAATCCTACGTACAGAATGCTTTTTAATAAATAAAAACCGACTACTATTTCAAACTAAAGATATTAAATTGTTGGTTGGTATCATACTGGCTCACCTTTTATTTCTTCAACAATCAAGTCTGGTCATTTATGTTCGTCGTCTAAATTGTAGTTAGTTAGTATTAAATTCACAAACTCCTTCAAGTACAACATGAATCTAAATTATGCTCTACTAGCTTTCGCCCGCGACTCCGTCCGCGCGGATCTAAAAAAGAAACAAACGTAAGTAGCCTATGTGTTCTTTCTGACTATCCTCTACATCTATGCTTAATTTTATCGAAATCCGTTCAGCCGTTTAGACAACAACTCTAACAAACATCCATCCATCTAAACTTTCGCATTTATAATATTAGTATGAAGTATGACAAGCTTTCAATTTGTTATGTACAATATTTCGCTCATAGCTTTTGGTCGAATATTCTAAACGAAATACAATCGAAAAAGAAACAAGGTAAAGAGGACAGAAAAAAAGTGGGTTGCCATTATTAGACGCGGACGGTTATTTAGCTATTTATACAAAAAAGATATATAGGACGCTAGCACATTATGAAACATTTAGAATTATTTCCAATGCCTGTGTGTTTACTTCGTCGGTGATATTTATGCTGGCGCCTAACTCGAGCGTACGTCTACTAAGCAGTATGAAAACGCTTACACACGCAAAGAAAATATTTCCATAGTTCTAGGTAATTGAAAGTATAACAATAACAAAACAAAGACAAGTTTATGCGCTTTTATGCAAAATTCTGTAAAAATATCCATTTGCATGTTATTTTAACAATAAATGGATATTTATGATGTACATATTTGCACGAACGATCACAGAAATATTATTTACAAATTGTTGGTTTCCTTTTGTAGCTGGACTCGAAGCGCAGTTAGATATCTTCAAGTGTCGAGTCAGGAACAAAAACGTAGCTTTCACAATGATCTCAGAATTTATACAATCTGTCAAATCATTATGAAAACCAGTTTCGTGAATCCTTCTTTCTTCTCTCTTCGTTAGTCGCCACAATTCGTTGTTCTAGAAGTAGCTTACTACTACATAGTTGTAAGTTATTAAAAAATATTAACTGAGACAGTGGTAAACATGTTCATGCTAATTAGAGAAGCTGCCAATATTCTGAAGCATTTAAGTGTCGTTTCAGTGTTCGGCCGTGAACATCTAAACGAGTATGAGGGCACAATAGAATAGAAGAACATGAATGGATTTGTCATCGCTCGATTGGGTGAAGTATGCGGCGGGAATGGGACGTGAGGTGACACTGCCGGGACGCTCCATTAGCCGGCGGCCGGCCCGCACGCATGACATCATGCTGACTCAGGCCTCGTGCTGTAGCCCCGCGGCGGACCAGCGTTCCTGCAATGTAACATACCGCTTGTTAATACATACATTGTCGTTATTGTTCGTAATAACTAACTTCTTAATGGAAGTTATGTGACAAATTGCAAATGCATTGCCTCGTGCCAGAGT